TGGGCTCGTCCCCCAGATCCAGAGGAAGGGGAAACAATAAATCCACCAACTACACCCACAATTATTAGGAGTTGTTCTCTTTTTTTTTATATATTTTTGGAGATTACGTGTGTTTTATGTCTCCTTTTGAGTAAGTTGTCATCCCTGTAAGTGGACATTTTGTACTCAATCACTAAAGCCTTTGTATCCTCTCTTTTTATCTTTCTGATAATATCCATAGGAGGGTGTCCCCACTGAAATTTTCCAATAAGAGTAAACTTGAATTTTTCCGTCAGAATAGAAATTTCTGAGTCAGAGAAAAAGATTGCTTCTTTTCCACCTTTTCTACTCCCCTTCTTAATAAAAGGACAATCATCAGTACCCTCTCGAGATTCCTTATAACTTGAGGGGAATCCCACTGCGGACTCCACTTATAGTGGCTGAAGACATGTGTTGATCCAACTAACAGTGGTTGAAGACTACACCAGGATTTTCTCCAAGAAATATCTTAATATCGAAAGCAAATCAATGAAGTTACTCAAGTGGTCTCTTAATTTCGACCCAAATCATGAAACTCCCACTATACCGATATGGTTTAGTTTACCTGGTCTCAAGCTACATTTTTTTCACCATAAGGTTCTCTACTCTATTGGGGACATCTTTGGGGATGCTTTGAAGCTAGATCTGCCTACTTTCAACCTAACCAGACCCTCGGTGACCAAAATACTTGTGGAAAAAGATATTATTTTACCTGATGTTACTGAAGTCTGGCTGGGCACAACCTATAATGGTTATTGGCAATAAATTGTCATGGAGCACAGACCCCCATATTGTACCCACTATAAGATGTTTGGTCATGTTCTTGATGGTTCAAGTGAATAAGGATGGGTCTAACCCTACTGGTGTGGACATTTAAGTTCCACCTGAGGATGATACTATCAGACATGAGGTGTCTGTTGCCCTTGAGGATCTCCCCCATGAAACTGTTGTTACTGCTACTGCGAGTGATGAGATGCTGGCACCTACAAAATCCATACAAAACAATATTGATGGACTCTTACCTATAAATGATGGAGTTCAGACCGATAATAAGGAGAGCCTCACAGCTCCAATTCTTCAAGAAGTATCCGGTGTAGCGGGAACTCATACTTCACATATTCCAGAACCTACTGTGGGTACTACTGTTGGTATTTCTTCAGCTCTACCCCATCAGGTTGATTCTCCGGAGGAGGAATGACAGGTTTACACTTCCAGGAGGAAGAAGAAGAATGGAGATCTACTAGAGCTCAGGAGTCTTATGGATGATACTTTGGTTACTACGGGTAATGGTCAGCACCTTACCAATCTGCTAGCTGGATCCCTACCGAGAACTAGAGCCAGAGGCAAGTCTAGATTGGGATGACCCACACTTTTTCAGCGACTGTGTGGTTTTTTTTCTCTTTTATTTCTATATGTACCCATCTTTTACTTTTTTTTTATGTGTTGTACCGTATGGGTTAGGTGTTTAGGCCCACCCATACAAACATATCTGTATTTTTATCTTTAATATATTAGCCCTTGGGCTTTTTCAAAAAAAAAAAAAATATATATATATATATATATATAAACCACTAGATTCTTCATTAAAAACATGTTACATGAAGTCTAATTTTTTTAAATGGTAGACTAGCCATTTCTTCCCCTTCTTGCATATGTGTATGTGTGATTACTTTTGGGGGTTAGTCCGGAGTTTTTGAATTCACCGCTATTTGCATTTTTTTCTTTAAATTTCAAAAAATCATTTGAATTTGTACATTATATATTGATGTAGGGAGTCTTTATTATTTACCGACTCGAGAAAAGCGAGCCTATTCATGGCCAAACTACTAAAATATTATTTTTAAGAAAATAAATTCTATAACCAATCAATGAAATAGGAAAAAAAATGAAACAAGCGAATACGTGTACAGATGTTGAGAAATACAGTATGATAAGAATTATAGTTTAGTTTTTATTTTCTATTAAATGTAAATTTTAAATATGAATAAACTATTATAAATATGAGTTTTATGATATAGAATGTCTCTTTTGTGCTTTGGATTTTATTTTGTTATGAAATGAGACTGTTAGATAGTTTTTTCTCTGTCCGACCAATAGTTCACACCTTGATAATTCTAGGTTCCTAGGTCGAGGCATGAAATGACGAGAAGCACACATTATAGGTATGCCAATAATAACAATATGCCTAATGTGTGAGAAAGATATGCTGTGAGCATCAATCAAAGAGGTAGCAACAAGGGCACAAGGGGGAAAGAAAGGCCATTGGTAGCACCGACAAGAGGTTATATAGGCTATGATACAAAAATCATTGAATAAATCAGCAATAAGAAGGGAGTGAACCAAAACCAAACAGATCATAGGAACTGCACACAACAATAACCATGAGAAGTTAGGATGAAGATGCATATAAGATATCATTCAAGGGAGAGATTCAAGACCAACAATGAAACATAAATAAGAGAGACAGATAGGATTGGTGCTCCATTGACGTAGGAGCCTTTGACATGAGGCGTGAGAGCTTCTCCTGCTTTGATCAAGTGATTCACGCGCGCGGGATCATCGTGATACTAGTGCTTGGACTAACTAGTCCAGACAAGAGGGAAATCGACCGGCTTCGTCCTTTGGATTGGGCACCTCCTTTCTATTGTAGGCCCATCCTAATTATCTAAGGCTAATATATGTAATTCCTGTGTTTAGGTTTTTACTTTTTGCTTGTTAACTGTTAATATAGTCGTTGACTTCTGGTGTTCCCCTTCTAGGGCTACATAAGAAGACAAGAAAGTGCTCTTGCTGTAACTCGTCCGAGGTGGTGTCGTTTCCCAAGGTTCAAATGGCGCTTCAGCTGTAGGTCAATCCTGAGGAGATATTTATCATCGATTTTCCATTCTCTGTAACCCTCCATCGCCGCCGCCACCGCCACCACAACAACACACTTGTCTTTTTCCAACTTCAGTTGCCAGCCGTCAGCTGCCAACTGCCACCTTGCTGCCACTCATTCCAGGCACCCCTCTTTGATGTTTAGCCAAGCACCTTCGTTGTTGCAACCCAGAAAAATTCCTCCCTTTGTTGTCCCGCAAATCCACGCATTCCCGACCCCTGTTGACATCATTTCCGCTCGCTGCCACCACCCCGTACAACTGTTCTTGGCAATTTTTTGCTATTCCAGCCGCCCAACCAGTCATTTCCCTCATTCCAGCTTGCTGCCATTTCCGCAACTCCTCCCTTTTGTTGTTGTCATCCTCCTCCCATGTTGCTGCAACCCAGTACCGCCCTTTCCAGCCGTTTCGTTGTTGTCCCGCCCCTCCTCTTTGCTGCCGCCACCATTTCAACCTTCCATCCTTGCTGCCAGCACCCCGGGCAAACCTTCCACATCACTCCTTGCTATTTTCTTGTTGTCCGACAGCCGGGAAATAACCACCTTGTTGTTTTCTGCTTACCAACCACCTTTTCCACTCCCGCACCACCTCCTAAATCCTCGCTGACCACCAACACCATCTTTGTGATAAACTTTAGTTGTGTTTTCCTGTGTCTGTTGTAGTATTTTTACTTTCAAATGTGTTGGTTGTAACCTTCTATTTGCATTGAGCAAAAATATTTATTTTTCCTCTTGTGATTTGGGTTAACATCAATATCATCCATCAAACACAATGAAGGAATTATACTACATCAATATGCTTGAAAAACAAGCTCTCTTTTCCTTCCAAGTCTCATCCTCATCTTTATTACCATTATCCAAAATTGCCTACAAAATATTTGTTTATCATTTATAGTACTCCAACTACTGAAACAGCATGAGAAGAATAACCAACTAGCACAGTCTTTCAGGAAAACTAGCATCCATTAAAAAAATAATAATAATTTCAAAAAAAAAAATCATGAAGGATCAAACTTACTATTCTTTAAAGGGATTGGTGGAAAAAGGAGAGTGATGATGGATTTGAGAGCTGGTTTAGGCATTATCAAAAACTTACATCATTAAATTTCTTCGCAAGATCAGGAGTGATGATGGCTATTGATTCTGCAAACTGCTTCGCAGCAAGAAGATCCTTTCTAAGTTGTTCAGTTTCTTCCTTACCTGATGAAAAAATAATGGAAATCAGCATGATTGCCAAAAAAAAATATATATTTTTTTTAAAGGGCCAAGTAGATAAGGCACTCGTCAAATGGGAATTATTAAACATAGATCTCCTAGATTTAAATATTAAGCATATTTTTCACAACGGTAAACTTAATTCAGGTATGATATATTCAAGCAACCATGAAGATTAGCAGGCATTTCACCAATACATTTCAACACTTTGTATTTGCAACAGTTGATGACCATATGTAAATAGCACCATATAGAACAAACAAGTGAATAAAGAAGGCGAACTTGTTATTTAACATCAACTGTAAGGGCCAAAGTGCACATTCTTGAATGAATTTGAGCTACTTCATATATAAAGAAGAGTATACACAGGCCCAATTTATCTCAACTTATAAATAAGAGTGAAAAAAACATGTTTGAAACACATCAAAAGAATAAAGACTTCCAACTCCATAGCTTTATAAGTGTTTTGGTATCCATGCTGCTAGGTCTAATCTTTCAACTTCCAGGAATAAGAAAACGTCTTTTGACATTGTTGTAACTCACAATTTTCATAGTGTTGAGCAGCTTGAATAGCAAACTTCTCGTGTTTCTTGACATCAACTTCCATTTCCCTTATCTAAGACATAATCAATGGAAACGGAGTTCAATAGAATACAAATATAAGAGGGGAAAGAAAACTGATCACAGTATTCAAATAATTAATTTACAGAAACAGAGAATTACATGTACATAGGTAAGTAAGAGAAAATTCAATACTGACGCTAAAGCCCAAAGGATAACATAAATAAAAGGTTTAGGATAATAATGAAGATGCTAAAAATCATAATAAATACAACATGCATCAAATAACATATCATGCTAGAATCCAAAGGAAAGCACACAAAAAACTAGACAATCAACAAATTATAGGGGGCTGAACTGCTATTCACAATAAATGTTAAGAGCCACCTAATACTAACATTAAAAGAAGACATCAAATTGAGTGCAAAAAACAATAAATGACAGTTATTTCAGTAAGTCTCATAGCTTTTACAATAATATCTAATGAAAAAAAGGATAATGAGGCTAATCAAGCATCACTTAAAAATAATTAATTTTAATTAACTGGTTTTCTTCTTGGAATTGTATAAATCCATCTAATCACACAAATTTCAAAGCAGTGCATGATGTGGGCTTTGAAAATTTACACCCAGCTCTCCTAGGTGAGTTTTTTTACTTTATGGGTCAAATTTTTAAAAAGCATAATAGATTTTAGATATGATGGTACCCAAAAAATTTGTCCTCTTCTTACGATGCCTTTAAGATCTGGTTAGGAGTTTTTCACACAAACCCCTATGATTAATTTCTCAAAATGACAAAAGAGAACTTTCTATTAAGGCTATTCATTAGGCACTAACTGCTTAGAATATAATAACAACAATTTAGTTTTAGATTAGGAAAATTCACCATCTTTAACTTAAAGAGAGAGTGGTGCGAGAAATGATGAAAAATCCAATTAACATCTAATAGTTCCATGTCACAATGGACTTTGGTCCAACAAGATCAAAGCAAATAGCCGATCAAGCTTGACCAAATAATCTTTGTTGGTAGCTATGAATTGCATCATCCAAGGGGAATCCTATTGAAGCTCTATCAAGTGTATCCCGTAATTCACAACTAATAGAGTCCGAGCCATTGAAAAACATTAGAAAATTGGTTGTAACCATAATAAAATAGTGTCACATTGAGGTGAACCATCAAGTTAGAGTATCCTAGTATTACCAACTTATTTTGTGGTGTCATGTAAGGGTAAAATCAAATGGTCAAATAACATATGTTACGTCATCACTGACATGAAATCTTTTTGATATTGACTATAAAAATATGTTTGTTACAACATTAGCTTTTTATAAGCTAAGACAAATGTTTAAACTTATCACCTTCTTTGATAGTCACCACAGTTGAAGACACCAATAGGAGTACACCGCAAAGAGTTGAGAAAATTGGTTTGGATAAGGATAAAGCGACCCCCAGTGAAGATGTCGATTATAGTGTTCGCCAGAAAATGCTTCAAATACCACGGATTTGGGCATATAACCTCCAACTGTCCGACGAGCAGAGTTGTATCGTTTACCAAACAGGACATCGTTTGAGAGGTTATCTAGGAGCAGGAAGCTGAGAAACAGGGTGGGTATCAGCCTCCATTGATGAGGAAGAAGCACTTGTGGTTCGACGGGTTATGCGTGTTAAAGACACGAGGGATCTGCAGTGGCTTCACCACAACAATTTCTACACCTGCTGCACAGTGAACGGAAATGTATGCAGCTTATTATCGACGACAATAGCAGTAAGAATGTGGCATCGACTCCGACGTTAGAGAAACTAGGACTCACGACTCAGAGGCATTCACTCATGTGGCTGAAGAAGAAAATAAGGTCAACGTAGACCAACAATGCCTAGTAGAGTTTTTAACAGGGGGTTAGCTGCAGAACCAGGTACAATGATATGGTCCCCATAGACTCCTGCCACCTTCTGCTAGGAAGACCGTGGCAATTTGACTAGAAGATTCAACATAATGGATTCAGAAACATGTATTCCTTCACCAAAAACGACAAACGCCTCATTCTACTTCCTTCGGTAGCACCCGAGGAGACAGAAGCCCTTACTAGGGAGTAGCAGAACCAGTTTTAATGACAATCGATTTTCTACCACCATAGCCACCACCATGTAAGAGATTTCAGTCCCAAGAAATTGAACCAAGATGGAGGTACGCTCGCAAGTGCTTTGAGATGTAGCACAGTCAACAGTGGAATCCAGGTGCTTTCAGGATTAAAGACAAGGAACCAGAAGTTTAGATAGATGAGGTCGAAGCTCCCAACTTCGGGAGACTGATGCAGGGCCAGGGGGAGGACTGGCCTGGGCTTGGTCCAGCCTGGTTGGACCGGTCGATCCTCAAAAGAGGGGGGCCACTGTCCTCTCCTTCCTCTTCTCTCCTTCCTCTTCCCGCCTTTCCTTTTCCCACATTTTCTTTTTCTTTCTTTACCTTCTTTTCTTACTTTACTTCATTGGCCCTTTCTGATTTAACTCATTTCCTAAATTCTGAGATCTAATTTTATTCTCCCTTTTTATTTTAAAAACATTTCCTAAAATCTAAAATCTGATTTAATTTCCATTCTTATCATACAATGTCTTTTCTAAAATTTAAAATCTAAAATCTGATTATGTTCTCCTTCTTTGTTTAAGTGTTTTCTAAATAGGTAGTCTTTATAAATAAGAGATGATGTGCTTGGAGCTAGGGGTCTTGTTTTTTATATTTGGTATATTCCTTTCAAGGGTTGTATCCAACGTCGATGTAGCGCTCCGATTGTCCCTCGTTCGGGGTGGAGATCGTCTCCACGAGTCTGAGAGGTGCTCCGGCTGTAGCCCGAATCCACAGAGATATTTAACTATCCATCCACCCTCCCTATCATTGTCCACCGCTTCTCAGCCCTACAACAGACCATCACACCTCTCCTGCTCTCCTACAGGCCTTCATCGATCTCCATGCATCTTCCTTGCAAGCCGCAGGCACCTCTGCCCTTCCTAGCTCTTCCAACTGCTTCTTGACCATCCTATCAGTTGCCCCACGTCCTCCTCCAGTCGCCACTGATCTCCCTGCAGCTTCCTTCAAAGCCGAAGCCACCTCAGTCCCTTCCTAGCTCTTCCAGCTGCTCTCGGCCATCTGGCCCACTGCCCCTCTTCCTCCTCCAGCCGCCGCCTCTCCTCCCTGCATCTTCCCTGCAGGCCACAGTTAGTTACACTCTGGATTCCAGCCATCGACGACTTCTCCACTTCCTTCAACTACTGTTTGACGTCTTTACAGTGACTTGGCACCTTCATCCAACCTTCAACTGCAACACTTTTAATAACTGCGATCTGGACTCTTGAATCAACTGAGTAGGCGAAACTTCTTCATTTTTTAAAATACTCTCTTCTTCTAAAATCTTGGATCAAACCACATGCCTAAATTAACATAATTCCTAATTAGAGTTAACTTAAATTTTTAGTTTTATAGATATTAAAATTTTCTTATAATTATTGTATTTGCTCTTTCATCAAGATTTCATTAATTAAACCTAAACATTGGCTCTGATACCACTTTTATCATGACTCGGTCTGAGGCTTCGAAATAAACAAGGCGTGTACAGACGATCAGATGGTTAAAACTTTCTATAACTAATATTTAAATACTGAAAATATTACTAAGAAAAAATATAAGTAGTACAATTAAATTTATCTCATTAATGGTTGTCCGCGCATTATATAAACATTTCTTCTATCGCTTATCTTTTAAATCACTTAATTAAACATTAATAATTAATTCAAAACAGCAGTGAGTTAAGAAGGTTAGTGAATACTCATTCTCTTAAACAACACTAACAATGAAAAAGAAATAATATGAATTTCAATTACGTTTTTAATTAGTATAATAACATTTGATAATTTTATGATCACGATATTTCATAACATTTAATATGTTTTACCATAACAATAACATGTCTATCATTTTATATTTATACAAATATTACATAAGCACCGTCTAAAACTGTGTTAAACTAAAATGCATCAATATCAATATCCATTTCTATTTATATGCATGGATAACTGCAAGTACCATAAAGTGGTAAACTTCATCATAGCCAAACAAGCACATGCAAATATACTATCACAAACACTATCTAGTAATGATTATTTCATTTGCATTTGTTTATAAGTTAAAATACTTGCACAAGAGTCAATATCTATGATAATTTAAACAATGTTCCGTACACATCATTCCTATAATATAAACAAAAATTCAACAAAATCATAAATTATAGGTGTACAATGCTATAAATACAATAGTAACTTTAAATGTATTTGGTCAAGAAGAAATAAAATATTACTATAGCTTAAAAATATGAGTACTCACTACATTAACATGTGACTTGCTTTTTTCATATTTTCAATCTTTTATTTTGATTTCATCTTCTTTAAATTGATATCTATAAGAATATTCACAATAATAATTAAATGCTTAAGTGACCATTATATGCATACAACAACGCTCAATTATTTGATTTAATATATACAAATTCATTTAAAGCCTAACATCTTAATTTCAATTTATTTTATAGTTATCTTTATTTAATTTATAGATGTGTGTGTGCGCCAATACACACACACACATATTAGTTCTGACGCTAAAATAACTCTGAATTAAAAATTTACCTTACGCTTACCTCGATCCTCTAAGCCACACATACACGCGCCTGCTCGTCTTCTCTCCTTAGAGCACAACAGCTCTACCTTAAGTTACAGCTCGATTCATCTTCGATCCCTCACAAAGCCGCACAAAACTCCCTCCTTCGCTTCTCCTGCTCGAATGTAAGGAGTTCAACAACGCCTCCTTCCGCACAAAATTGTGACGCCCCTTTTTACTCTATCACGTCGGAGGCTTGAAGTTTCTTTTATTGCACATGATATGCTCGCAAGACTCCTCCATCGATTTGATTGCACGAGACATTCTCAGTTGTCCTTCCCAACAAGAGGTTATTGTTTGCACGTGAAGTGCATGTTTAGTTAGGCTTTGACATCCCACTTTAACCCTCGCTTGTTATTGACGTTGATACTCCTGCAAGCTTCGTCCACCTACTTTGTTGTCAGCCGACATCGTCGCCTTTGGCTACGAGAAAGCCCTGGCTCGCACTCGTCGGTCTCCTGCCTTTGTCTCGTGTTGATTTATAGAACAAATTAACCCTTTCGTTTTCCCAACTGCTCCCTATATGCATCTCTCTTCAACTCTTTCGAGAAGATGAAATGAGGCATTACAAAAAGACGAGCTTGAAGTGAGCTTAGAGAAAAGCAATCATAAGACTAACCCAGGTAAGATATTCAATTGCTAAAAAAGGAAATAAATTGTTTGTGGGCCTGATGCCTATTATTGCTTATTAATACATACTATTGTTTGTGTGTTGTATTTAGAAAGTCTTTCATATTGAGCATACCTATCACTGTCAACCTCATTTAATGATGCAAATGAACACCTACATAATTTCAATTTATACCATTTCATAAAATTGCAATAATAAGAACAATTTTTTTTTATTATTAACTATCATATTGTATTTCTTGCATAAGTTAATAATGTGCTTGTTGATTTTACATTTAGGTTAAAAAATAAATACATATGAAAATAGTTTTAACAGATAAAGTCAATAAAAGAAGGTCATATAATTATGATAGGCTGATAAAAATGCTTATGATCTGTGCAGGGAAGACGAGAGTTCTGATAAAGCAAGCCTTGACAGAAAACCGATTGAATTTCTGGCTGTTGAAATTGAGGTTGGAGCACACCAAATGGTACAAGGGGGGTCATATATAAAACAAAATGTTGCAATAACTAACCTTCATCAGCAGTTGTATGGCCTATGGATTGGGTGACAATCTAATAAAATAAAATTTATCAAAAATCTATACATAGAATATGACTCATAAGACAAAAATTGGGGATAAACATGAAAATAAAAGTATATTGAAATAATAGTTTAATTTTTTTTAACTATTGCTTTATATATTGCATTTAAATCATGTTTATTGTATCATTAAGTAATTAAGCATATTTATTAGATTAATGCTGCTATTCATGTTAGTTTCTGACTAACATACATGTTATTCCTTTCTTGTATATTGAAACTTATTTTAGCTTTGATTATCTCATTGACTATGCAGCTTAACCAATGTGATTATGTTGCTTTTCGAGAAGGGCTAAAGAGATAATAAATTGTTAGCAAGGTGATTTTGTTTTTATATAATATCTTTTAAAATTTTGGATGATTATAGAAGATTTTTAAGATGCCAATGATTTCATATTTAAGTATTTTAGAAGCTTTGTACCATTGCTTGAGGAATTCTTTATGTATGCTTCCCTAATTATGTTTAATATCAAAGAATTAATTGATGAATTCAGTGCAACGATTTGCTCGTAATGCTTTGATATGTTAAATTTTGTCAATGATCGAACTTCAATATATGAATTGAGTGTCATTTGATGAGTAAGATCAAACAAGGGAGAGGGACAAGGAAAGGATGAAGTAATGAAAAAAGAAGTCATTGCTAGTAGTAACAACTTGTCACGATCCATTGGTTTAATGCCGAATCCATGTCTTGAAATTTGGCGTAATAGAGGAGACAAATTAGTTGATGAATACAATTCGTGATGTGATGAAGGTCAAAGAAAATTAAATCTGATTAAATCGCCTCCTTTATTACACCACTAGTTGACTGGAGGGTTTGACTTGAGTATGGCATATTTCCTCAAATTGATAAAATATAGAACTACTCATAATCACAAAAGAATTTTGTTAAGGCTTTGAGCATAGGAGAAAAGATGTAAGAGAGTCATTAATATTTCAAAGGGAAGAAAGTAGAAGATGGTATATTTGAGGAAGGAATCAAATCAGAAATAAATCAACATCGATTATTTATTAAAATTTTCTCATCTTATACTTAGTTTACATTGTTTAAAACAGATTATCTTCTTAATTTTTCCCTCTTCTTTAATTTTAATTTTACTTTAATTTTAAAAGAAGGGTTTGCCCAGCTTTTCATGAAAAAATCCACAAGTAATTGATTTCTTTTTCTTATCATATGTTTTCATCATCCATTTTTATTGCAATATTTCCATTTAACAGTCAATATATACATCTCCTTTTTAGAAGATTCAGAAATAATGCAAGTGCTCTGTAATGATTTCCGCATCTACTTACAGAACCGAAAACATATGATAAGAAACTTATCAATATATACAACTCCTTTTTAGAAGATGCACAAATAATGCACTGCTCTGGAATGGTTTCCAAATCTACTTGGAGAACCAGGATCCAGTCTAACTTCAAGGCCACGCAACTGTGGATAGAGTTACAGTAAATAAATGGTGGAATGCTGGAAAGATGAGACTCGGAAAAATAAATGGACAAACAGGATTCATGCGCTTGATCGACATAAGCAAAAAGAATTGATGGATAATCTTATAGTGATGATAAATTTGTTAGCTGATGCTGCGGTTACAAGATAAATAGCTAATATGGTGAGCTTCATGAAAAATTTCAAAAAATAACAGAGACACCATGAAAAATACAACTAAATATAGTGTTAAGAGGTGGAATATATTATAGGATTAAGAATAAGTAAAAACCTTAGCATCAAGTTCAATGTAAGTCATTTGTTTCTCTGCCAAGCTTAATTTTAAAACAATGGCTTCAACAAGAAACTCCTGGAACAAAACAGTAAAAATATATCAGCACATTCGAAGAGAAACAAAACCAAAATCCAAAATTCAAACACTAATCTCCAAGTTCCAGTAATCACTTCCATTATAACCATTGAGATTCAAAATGTCAGCCAGTTTCTGGATGAACTTGACCTTGATTTCATTAGCCAGTCCAAAACGCTTTTCATCTAGTTGGAAAGCCTGATCAACAAGCTTCCTTACATTTGACTCTATATCTTCCTCTTTACTCAGGGACTCCAATTTCCTTCTCCTTTGGTCTGCAAATTAAACAAGAACATCAAAATGTATAAATAAGAAATATAAGTATAAAGAAAAACTAATGCCGAACATGGCAGACATACCTATACAATTTTCCATTTCACGTCGTTTCTTTTTCTCAAGATTTACTTTACGAATAATCTCCTCCTGTAAATAATTAAAGATATGCTTCCGGTATGATAGGTCATTTCTTTCAAAAGTGTAGAATGCTCAGATCAAAGACATGATTGCATCAATTTTTAACTTAGAAAAAAAACAAACCCGTTGACGATGTAATTTAGCAGCTTCATCCTCCAGCTGTCTCTGCTCAGCTTGAAGAGTTTTAACGCTTTCCTCAATATTAGTAATGTCAGATTCAATTTCAACTTTTTGACACCTTAGACTTTCCACATCAGCAGCATCCACACCTGTAGATAGGCAATTCATAAGAATGAAAATCATGACAAGGAAAAAAAAAGCATATGCTACAAATAAAATAAACTTCAAAATTAATGCAAATATGCTGCTAATAAAATATACTCTGCATAAAAAGGCGAGAAGAGCGCACTGGCTCCATGATAGCTGAAACATGACCACCATATCTGGAAATCGACCAACGATAATGACTTTCTGGGGTCCAGAGATCAGATATTCCTAAACTTGATACCTCATCAGCTCTTTTATCAGTTTCATGATCACCTATGTACTGAAGAAATTCAAATGATTGGACACACAAAACAATATGAAAACATTAAGGCCTGATATTGTATATTTGTTAAGCCCGTAGAATGCTCACAAAGATTGGAAAGTGTCAAATTTGACATACCGAATGGTCCAATGCAGCTTGACTGATCAAGACATCCTTTACAGCATGAGGAGAGCTAAAAATTTGATCAAGGCGGGAAGAAATACCAAGCTCCATCATCTATGCAAGAAAGCTAAATCAACAGTTACAAAATATTAAGCCACAAGGGCCACCGTGCTTTCAAAAAACTGCAATTATTTTGGACATGATTACCTCCCGAGTCATTTCAAATTGGGATCTGTTAACGCTTCTTTCTCCAACATAATTTAAAACGGGTACATCGTACTTTTTCAGGTTATGAACCAAGAAATCTCTGTCAGAGGGATCTTGCGTAACAAAAGACTGCAATTGAGACATAACCACATGTTAGCCTCACATCGGAGTACAGCAACCAAAACACCAAACTACAAAAACAAAAACAAAAACAATTAATTGACACCACTACCAAAAATAAGCAACAAAAGTTGCGGGGAAAAGCTTTGTTTCCTTTTCAGGTTCAATAACTTCAACATAGTAGGAAAATTTAAATTCACTAAGATCAGAAAGGCTGAAGGAGCTTTTGAGCCTCAGAATCTCTGCTAAATGAATGAAAAACTGCAGGAGTCAATAAATGCACTCTTAAAAAAGATTTTCTTCTTCTTTTGCATCGGACTTGTCTTGTCTAACAGGAATTTAGGCATATAAATGGTAAGGCAATTTTAAGAAAAACAGCTCCCGATCAAGAGACCAGAATATCGTCATACTGCTCGTAACTACAACTTTAAAAAAAAGGATAAATTTAAAAAAAAGAACCTTTGAATTAGGACTAGTAACAAATACATCCTCTACTACAAACATTTCACCTTTGTTCACTCCAGGATCTAAGTCGACGACGTCGTCTGTTCGTCTGGATCGCTCGGCTACTTCAACAATTCATCTGGTTAGCCTGTTTGCTTCGTTAGATGCACTGTTTGGCTCCCTATGAATCTTGTGGTAGCCTCATCTATAGGCTTTTCCCGGCTCCTCTTCCCTGCAGTTGTATCTCTTACTGCAGGCCCTTCCCCATTCTCCTTAGTCGTCAGAACTCTCCCTTCCTATAGTCGGGATCCTCATGCTATAGACCCTCCTCTGGAATCCCTTCAGCAAATCTGCAGGCCCTCCTTCGAAGCCCCACCTCTTTTTTCCTAGTATAGAAATACTCCCTACAGGATCTCATATGTTCAATTTTTGCCGCCGGAATCTTCCTAGCAGCACATCCTCCTCCGCAGGATTCTCTCTACAGGCACCTTCGTTGGAAATCTCTTGTCCTGCAACTACAGAAGTAACAACAGTGATAGTAAGCAACAACAACATCGATAGCCAATTTTCCTCATTTCCTACAACAGTCGTTCCTTTAGATGCAAACCCAGCAGTCAATTCCCTTCATGTAACCAACAACCGCCCTAAATACATATATGGTTTATGATCAAGTATGGGATGAAGATGATAAGTTCAACTACAGATGTTAATTCTAAACAAAACACCAACCTGGTGGCACACCAAGGAAATATATCCATCTCTCTACTTGTCAGTAATGGGAGATTTAGAGTTTGGATCATAGATCCAAAAGCCTCTGATCAAATGACTGGAGATATCAATGATCTAGTTAACTATCAAAAGGCTTGTACATCTAGATCGGTCAGACTTATAGATGGATTGCACACAAAAAAAGCTGGAAAAGAAGATGTGGAGCTCTCTGAAGATCTTACTATTTTCTCTGTTTTATATGTTCCATGGTTGTATTATAATTTGATTTCAATTAACAAGCTCACTCATGGCATATATAATATAACTAAATTCCTTGCAAACACTTGTGAATATTAGGTGGTAGAGTAAGGGAGGGTAATTGACAGTGCTGAAATACATCAAAACTTATAACGATCTCAAGAAAAAACACTCCAAACACAAATGATCCCACCTCTATTTTTATCTCAAATTTCTAAGATTGTTAAGCATGTCTGCCAAAAAGCATATCATGTGATGGCATTCTTGCATAGGTCATCCTAATTTCAATTATAATGCAAAGTTGTATCCTTATTTGGTTATCAATAAAAAATCTAGCTCTCATCAATGTGAGATTAGTCAACAAACACACTAGAAATGAAATAATTATCTCATAATCCAGTACAAATCTTCACACTTTTTTTCCATTATCCATAGTCATATTTGGGAACCTTTAAAGGTGAAAATCATAAGCAGTTCTAGATGGCTCGTCTCATACATTGACAATCATACTAGAACTACTAAGGTATTCCAAATGAAGAAGAAATCTAAAACAACTCATATCTTCCAAATCTTTCATTATATGATTCAAACTCCATTCCAATGCAAATATTAAATCCTGAAAACTGATAATACAAAGAAATATTTCAGTTTCATCCTTGAGCCTTATCTTTCAAAAAAAAATGGAATCATCATTGTAAGTTCATGTATTAATACCCCACAACAAAATGGAATAGCTGAAATAAAAAATAAGCATCTCCTTCACATATCTCACTAAATTATGATTTCTCATTAAGTTCCAAAATATTTTTGAAAGAAAACAGTTCTTATTGCAACATACCATATCAATCGAATGTCGGGTGGAATAGCTCTAATTTCGACTGTCTCGCAAGGGGTTGAACATGAAAATGATGGAATATAATGATCCAATCGTTGCCTTCCCAACTAGCTCTAATCGAGACTGTATTGTGAGGGTTCCATCACGAAGACAAATGTATTGGGCAACCCTTGAAGTATGCATATTGCAATAAACATAACAAAAGAATTACAAAATGGTACAAAAAAGGGCGTAACCTGTCGAAACATGGGCTCGGTCAAAATTGACAAAGGGAAAAAAAAATGTGAGCTATCAATATTCCTCACAAAAAAACTACCATGTAAGGTTTTTTGTGCACAAGTATAAGAAATTATAATTTTCTTTCTATTTATCTGTTGAATCAAAACCTGTTTTAATGATGTCAGGAAAGAGAGGTCCTCCATATCTTGTGGTGGCCTTCTCCAAATGTTAGCAATCTTTGCTTGTTGAAGCGAAGCAATAATAGTTTGGTTCTCACTTTCAATAATGACACCCTTGACTTCATACATCCACGGTTCCACATAGTGCTTGATTGAAGAGATCGACATGGGTTCAACATGAGCACTATCCAATGTTCAATAAGATGGCCGACCGCAAGGATAAAGTCGACTTTTAGATCTTTAATAGCAATGCCAATGCCGCCCATATAAGAAGGAAGAAGAGTCCCGTCAATACTAATTTTGAGCCAACAGATGGGGAGGGGGGATTGTAAAGTGGGGTTTGCCTGGTTGGTGTCTCATTGCTCCTTGAGCTGAAGTTTGTGCGTCTAGGTCAGAGCTTCGAGAGTAGTGGAGGCAAAAACAATTTGAGTGTCGAAGGCCCGACCATGCTCTTTTGCATTCTAGCACGTCAACATTGACACACCACCTTGCAATAAATGGCGAGGTTAGTAGCATTTTTGTTGTCAAGTTTAGTGAGCAACTGTATGGTCTCAAGGGTTATGTGAAAATTTAGGATAGGAATGCCCCATTGCTGCAATTTTTGTTTAACTTCAACATAAAACTTGCATTTAGTGGTAATATGGTTAATAATATCCTCTTGGACATTTCGACCCCAAGGGCAAAGCATATCATCAATGAAACCTCTTCTAAACCGCAAGCTCCCCGAGGGTGATTCTCCATCAGAAGAGTCATTCACGCGGTGAATTATGAGTTTCATAAGCTTGCCGTACAAATTTTGGTTGCTTACCAAAGTGGCCTCATAAGAGACGACAGCTATGTTCTTACCTGTAAATGTATGAATGAGCCCCCACATAATCTTCCTACATTTGATTATGAAGGGGGATTTGAGTGACTTTGTTGCCCAAATCCTTACTGAAGCATATTCGAATCTTGTCGGCATTCTATACCGGAGCATTTAGGATTGAGCGAACCCTAGAGGGGCAGGAGAGAAGCTACTGCTTATCATAACGGCAAAACCCAAGTACAAGTCGACTCCGATACCATGTAAGTTTTGAGAGAGGAAAAATAATTATTTCCTCATTTTATTTCATAAAGAAATTGTTTAAAGGATAAATAGCAGAGGAAGGCCACCCGATTAGATAAGCCAGAAATTCAACCATAAATTCCTCATGCTAGAATAAGGAAACAAACATCACAAAAAACAGAAAATTCTAAAAGAGGAAAAAACTACGACAAAATACTAAAAAATGAAATTCTAAAAAATCTGACAAATTTTAATACGTGAAGCATATGATTCGTAGGCTGAATATTAAAAAAAAAAATCAAATTGAGCATATCATTAGCACCTGATGTTACCAAAAAAGTTACTGCATATTTTATATGATCAGCAGTTTTAAAAATAAAAAAATTTTGAAATTATTTTATAACATGATGCATAATAAAAGACATTGATGTAAACCTCCACGTCATGTTTTATCTAGATATATGTTGATATGAGCTAACTATAACAGAAGCATAAAAATCAATGTAAAATTTTTTAAAAAGGTTTATGGCAATGCTAAGGAGAAGAAGTCAAGAGGAGTCCACGGAAAATCATAATATATAGAATAAGTTGGCAAATGATGAAGACCTACATAAAGAAAGATAAAGGTCAAAAGAGGGTTCCAAACTCTCCATTCCAAAATTTTAAGTATTAAAATCCAGCTTAAAATTTAGGGGTAGTCAACGAGCTGGGTGTGACCTAAAAATTTGAACAGACATTATATGACACTTCTAATGCTATGAATACTGCAAGAATGAGAAAGAAATAAAATAAAAAACAAATGATTTCATGCCAACAATTAACTATTTTATGCATTAAATTTTAACATGTAAAAAATCCATTTTATTTTTTTTGCAAATAGATATATTTACTTCTTATGATTTTATTTTAAGTATGTGATTATTAAAGCTTATTTTGCTTCAAAATTAATCCACTAATAACTCGTATCCATCATTAACATGTTAATTCAAAATATCGACATACATTTTATTATTTATTTCTTGTATTTTAGATCCTACATTTGAATTATTTATCCCACTAAGCTTTCAGCTCAAAAGATATTACATCAATTATATTTCAGGAAAAAAAAAGAACAAGCGAGGCCATAATCAGGGGATCAAATTTTGTATTGTATCGTTGAGTGTTGATAAAAAAATTTGGAATAAAAGAAGTGATGTTCAAAATGTACATAAAAGAGTTCTAATATATATAATTGTTTTATTTCATGATTTCATAAAATGAAAGATTCCGTACTAATGATTATGATGAATCTATCCTGATTATGAAAAAATAATTATGTTCTATCACGTTCTAAGTAGATTATGTATATACTCGCTCGATCCTGATTAATTAAATTAGAATAGGTGTTGACAGAAAATATGTCTACTAGATTTCTGGCCTCTATTATACCATATGCTTGACTGAGATGAGGGTCAAAATAAGCCATCAGACATGCAATATAATAAACCATCAAGTTTTGTATAAAATTTCATTTTTTAATACAACTGGAGGAGCATAGGCGACATTTACATTTATAATATCCTCATAAAATAACCCATATCATTAGTCTAACACTAACCATATAAAGTATTTCAAGAAAGACATGCAAGATTGCACATAGATCTACAAGGAAACAAAATGCAGAGGTCGGCTTACCTTCCAAATATAATTAGGTACATGATTCTCCAAATAGGTAGCATGAACTCCATTGGGGACTTTAACCTAAAAATTTAGCCACAAATAAAGGTCACCGATCTCCTCCTTTTACTATTAAAATAATAGGAAAAACATGGAAACTAACTCAGCGTACCTCCAAAATAACAGGACCATACACCTCTTTCTTCAACTCACGACGGTTTTCTTGCAGCCAATCATAAGCCTCAAATATTTTATCTGCACCAGAATTTTTCAATGCTTGAAGAAGTTTGGTGCTTTCATTGTTCATCTCCTTCAACCTAAATTTACACCATTGATTGCAGAGTACAATAACTAGAAAGGAACTCGCGTAACAAGATTAGAAGAGAACGTCACCTGTCCAAGCACCTCTTCAAGGACATTTTCTTCTGATTGAGAAAGTTTCCCTTCTCTGTCCGCTGCAATTTAATTTGATTCGCATTCATTTCTAGCTCCAATATTTGACAACCTAGATTTTCCTGCTCTCACAAAAAACAAGAATTTTCTTAAAAGATTATAAACCACAATAAATGGGTAGAGCTTCACAAACAGCGAACTCACATTTGAAACTAACAATCTTCTCACAAGATAAATTAAATATTCAATTTTTCAAAGGAAATAAATGTAAAATGACCTCAATCAACAAGTAAATATGAGAAAAAATTTTAACACGTCACATTTACAGAAATCTACATCGTCATCAGCTGAAGAAGCAAAGGCATTCCTCATACAGCTATAAAACCTAATTCAAACGGTTCAACATTCATTTCTTTTAAGAGATGCCAGCATTAATCAAGTGCTCAATTCACGAGGCTTCCAAAATAGCAGGGGTCTGAGGAGGTAATGATGTACTTCGCTTTACTCCTGCATGGAAGAAATGTTGTTGCAGTGGTTAAATCTACAATTTCCAAATCCAAGTGGAGGCAACCTAGACATTGTTGTTGGCCAAAAAACAAACGATATGTTCGGTACTATTTCTTATTTGTATAAATCTTTTAAATAGCTTTTAATTAAATTGGCATTGCTCACCCCTTTTTTTCAAAAAGCTTTATCCTTAGTTTTGGTTTTTACCCAAGTGATGCCTCATTGTCCTTGTGTTGAGCATGTTTAATTTGTCGCAATCTATTTTTAACTACATTAGACCATCTTACAAACAGTTGCTACTGAAATTATCTTTCCTACTGCAACATCACATCCATTAAATCATTCACATATTTGAAAGAATCTGTTTGCACCCAGGTCCCATTTTGTTGCCCCAACATCAGTTCCATATTACAAAATTTTGCCATTTAAATGATTAAAAAAATATCCTTAAAAATACACAACTTTTCAACAAGCTCTAATGTTTATACAATAATCACAGACATGTATAAACTTTCCACTCTAAAGCACCACGTTTAATTGCTCCACTTCCACAAGATGCATCCACGTTTTTTGCTAAAAGAACAAAAGATTAAAAAATATAAAAAAATCCAACGCCTGCCTTCTCCTCTTGCATGATGCCCACAAAAAACCTACACATTTCTCTCGAATGGCTTTTCCCCTTCGCTCTCACAATTCCCATGCTTGCATCCTCCCACTTCAATACCCTATCTCTGCTCGTGTTCTGAGTCTCAAACATCACATGACACATGACCTGCTCTCTATCTGCAATAATTCTAGAAGCACAAGGTTGTCACTCCTTCCACCCATGCTCTATCATGTCTCCTAGGACTCTAGCCTCTACATTCCTCCTCTCCCAAACCTGCCGATGCAAACCCATCCCTTCCCACTTATTAACCCACACTTTCCAAAACTCTTGACTTTCATAACAACACTCCGCAGCTCGCTTCACATTTCATCCGTCAAACATGCAACACCCAATTCCTAACATGTGCCTTTTTTTCTCTTATATACAAACAGAAACCCTGCATGTTATATTTTACCTCTTTTCTCTTTAAAGCCATGCTTTAAATCCCAAGCATTTCACACACATTGTGCAAACTCCAACAAATCACATCTCACTCATTCTTTTTGCATATATACATACGCTCCTACAAGTATGCTTAGCTGCTCTAGCAATCAACCTCCCCTAGCACCTTTTCCCATATACACACCAACTATAATCATTGTAAGAGATGAATTCTGAAACCTATGGAAGTCTCAGATATAAACTGCATGACTTAAAGCCACTCCCTTCCTTGAACTTCCACGATTTAATCCTAGCAACAACAAACTATGACATCTATCAAAGTTGTTTTTCTCATAGCCTATGTGCATGCATGTATATAATATATTAGCCGTTTTGGGCTTTCATAATATATTTGTATACATTTGTATATATATATATATTATAAACGCCCTAATTTTATTGAAATAGAAAAGATACATAGAGATTGTATGAGAGGACCCAAAAAAAGGTGTCCTACCCATACGATACATCAGACAATAGCATCCTAAATTGATGAAACAAAAATAAAACACAAAAAAACAAGACTTATAGGAAATAAGCTGCTAGGCACGAGCCAGCTTGGTCTTGCCTCTGCCTCTGGTTTTAGGAGCAGAGACAACTAACAAATTGTTGAGTATCATTTCATTACCAAAAGTTACTAGAGTATCATCCATTAAGTTCTCAAGCTGGGGTGTGCTTCCATTCTTATTTTTCTTTCTAGATGTGTAAAACTGTCATTCCTCATCCGAGGAAGGACTGACTCATCTGATCGGTGTGGTCAATAGATTGTTGAGCAAGTGAGAGAGAATGAGCCTCCAGCTCATGACTGACAGTAACAACATTCTGATTCTGAAGAGGTTGTAAGCATGTCTCTTCAACACCTGATGCATCCTGGGGATGTAGAGCTTCAATATTATCCTGATTATCAAACCCAAGTAAACCATCTGTCAATATATCAGTCGAAAGAACAGAGACAGTATTACCGGTAGGGGGGGGGGGAGGTGGCATCGTGTCAGCCAGTGTTTCAATAGTCTGTGGAATGCACTCAGGAGCGGAGGAGGGACGCATATGAGGTGGGGCAGATCCAGAAGCGTTTTTACTTGAAGGTTTTAAATTCGGATGCAACTGATAACATTGAGAAGGAGAATGTCCAAGCATACGGCAGTGGGTACAATAAAGTGGTATACGTTCAAGTTCTGTTTGCTCCCAAAATCCCTGATGTTGTGTGACAATCCATATTTATCCCAAAAAAGGTAAAGTAATATCTCTTTCTATCAAAATTATGGCTTCTAAAGGTCGAGTCAGATTTACCGTAGCTGTGTCAGCTTTGAGGGGTTGATCAAAAAGGTGGATCTTCAAACCTGGGAAGCGCAACCAAACATAAATGGTAGGAGGTTCAGTACGAGGGTTAAAATCCACCGTCCATTTTAAAACCTTCATCACCTGATTTTCTATTTGAAGAACTCTTCTCGCAAACAAATGGGTGTAGTCTTCGTCATTTAATAATTGAACAAGAATGTGACGACCATCCAATTTTCGATTTTCCAACCCCATTTCAGCTTCATTTGCTCAAAGTCCATTCGAATTAGCTCAAGTTTAGGGTTTCCATAAAGAAACTTACCTACTAAGAACAGTCAGCAGGACGCAGCTAGAGTGGAGATCTCTGCCTCAGTGAGAAAGGTTTGTCGTTTCTTCGGGAAGCTTTTTTGAGAAATTCGATTTCAATGCCAAGAGCAAAATTGTCGTGGTATCGTTGCGGAAACACATTCGAAAGAGGGGCGGAGACGGGGTTATCACTGGCGAGGGCGGCGACGTAGGAACGTCCTGAAGCAATTTCTTCAGATCGATCGACACAGATCCGCCGCAATCGACAATGCGAACGCGAGATGTCGGCTTCTGTGAGGAGGAAGACGAAGGAGGAAGGAGGAAGACGCGATGCGATCTGTCGGCTTCGAACAGAGGCGACAAGATGCGATCCGTCGGCTTCGAAAGAGGCGACGAGATGTGATCTGTCTGCTTCGAATAGAGACGACGAGACGCGACCAGCAGTGGACTTCGAAGCCGCAAGCCACAGGGAGGACTGAGAGACGATGCCGGAGAAATGATTAATGCAATAAGGGTTGCTAGGGTTCGACATGGGTCGAAACCCTAACAGAGCCGAGCGTGGGAAACGACATGAGAGATATTATATATGTACATGCATGTATATATATATATGGTTTAGTTTACCTGCTCAAGCTGCATTTTATTCACCATCAGGTTCTCTACTCTATTGGGGTCATCCTTGGGGATCCTTTGAAACTAGATCTGCCTACTTTCAACCTGACCAGACCCTCGGTGGCCAAAATAATTGTGGAAAGGGATATTACTTTATCAGATGTTACTGAGGTCTAGCTGGACACAACCCATAATAGTTATTGGCAACAAATCGTCATAGAACACAAACCCCCATATTGTACCCACTGTAAGATGTTTGGAGATGTTTGGTCATGTAAGATGTTTGGTCATATCATTGCTAAATGCCACAAATTTCATCCTAATTTGAAATCTAAGGGTGTCAAGTGAATAAGGATGGGTTTAACCCCACTGCTGTGGACATTTTAGTTCCACCTGAGGATGATACTACCAGACAGGAGGTGTTTGTTGCACCTAAAGACCCCCCCATGACACTGTTGTTACTGTGAGTGATGCGATGTTGGCACCTACAAACTCTATACAAAACAATTCTAATGAACTATTGCCTATAAATGATAGTGTTCAGACTGATAATCAAGAGAACCTCGCAGCTCCACTTCTTCAAGAAGTAAAACTCGTAGCGGCAACTCACACTTCTCATATTGTAGAACCTATTGTGGGTACTACTGTTCCTTCTGGTTCAGCTCTACCCCATAAGGCGGATTCTTCGGAGGAGAAATTATGTCAATTGCACGTTTTGCAATTTTTTTTAAGAGATTTCGATAGGGATTTGGGGTTTTTTAGGTCACATTGATATATGCAAGGGAACTCCATTCAAGCCTTGCAATTATACTGAAAAAAAATTATTAAAATAAAAATAAATAAATAAATTCAAATACTTTATTTGTTGAAACATCACGGATCTGATGTATCACTCATGAAACTGACATTCAACAATATAAAAATTGTGAGTTAAGTCGTATTATTTTGCTCTGGACCGGGCGGGCCGGTTCAACTGTTTCGACCGTGATAAAACTGACAATTCAACCGGAGAATCATCGAACGAAACGTGATTCAAATGAATTACTTTTATATATTATTTTATTTATTTATTTTTTTTTTGGAAAGAGCAGCGGTGGCTCCCTAAGCGTTAATATTTAAAAAAAGATACAAGGAGAGGGAGGAGGAGAGGATCCCCATCTAGAAAACACAAAAAATACAATTAACTCGCCCCTAGGGATCCCTCGCCCCGCAGTATAACTCACCCAAAAAAGAATCTCCAAAATATAGGTATACTCAAAAACCAAAAAAGTCAAAAAAGAGTAATCTTGTGTACTTGTATATCTTGAAAGTATCTTGAAAAGAGAAAAAACAAAGCAAATCATGCAGAAGAGTTGTCCTCGATATAGCAGATATCTCCAAAAAGACCGTGAGCAAGGACTCTAGCACAGCCCGTGACTCCAAAAAAAAAAGAGAACATCCTGTAACAAGTGATAAAAACAGCCAAGCCAAACAAAATAGAAGGGAACCGCAAGAAAAAAAAGGCAGTAATGCCCAGCCAAACCGAATATAGCTTCATTTAATGGATAAAAAAGCATAAAAAACTTAGAATCGAACATAAGGAAGATTTAAAGTATCCCCAATGATGAGTCTTCGAAGAGGGGCAGTGAGATGTATGCCAACGTGACAGATCTCCCCTGCATGTTTGGCAAGTCAATCGGCAGGGGAATTGCCCTCTCTATGTATAAACTTCCAATCAACCTCAAGATGTTTATCATCTATAAGAGCTAGTATTCTTTTAAAGACACCAACAAAATCCCAAAGTGGAGAAGAGGTACCAACCAAAATATCATAAAAGCATTTTAGAGTCATAAAGCATTTTAGAGTCCATCTCCACCTCTAATTTATGAAAATTGAAAATGTTAGCCACCACTAAAGCCAAATAAACTTCCCAACATTCTACAGCCAATGGAGTTTCAACAATTACTGGGGAAGCAAAAAAACAAAGACATCTCTCCTCATAATTTCTAAATAAACCCCCAACCGCAACATAATCAGGATGCCAACAACTATCAACATTTAATTTCACATAATTAGCATGTGGGGGAGTCCATGTCACACACACACACACACACATTAATCTCTCTCTATCCTTAACAATGAAAATCACATTACACCAAACTATTTTTGGAACCTTCACAAGACTGATCAAACTTAATCATCTCCTCTTCCGAAAAAAGTCAAAGCCACTGGTCAACACCTGTAACTCTCCCTCATAGTACTACACACTCGCCCACCTCTCCTTATCTCCCGCAACTTATCACATAACCAATCAAACCCGTCATCATCATTCACATCATCCCAAGTTCAAACTCAGTCACAACCAATATATTGCCAGCGGTGACTAAGGCAAACAAGACATGCAAAAAGGATATTTGGCAAGGGCGTTCGACGATTGAACTGTTCGAGTGGAGTTTGGCGTACGAGGACAAGAGAGGAATCATCGGAAAGAGATGCTAACTAGAACGAAGCAAAAGAGAGGCCATGCAAGAGAGACTAAGCATGAACATAAGAACACTAGCACCAACCTCGCAGCATTTGAGGATTGGATTTGACTATAATTTTCTTATAAATTTAATTAGACGTGAAACATTTTTTTTTTTTGAATTAGCTCCATGAGCATCTCGAATCATGTGTCGACATTTCGTGCTCATTCAATTGTCACCTTTGTGTGATGGATAGGGCGATATGAGTGTTATTCCTGGACAATTTCAATGTTATGTATGCATCGACATAGTGCATTTTGTGATTGAACGATGTTTGAGCAAATTTAATCAAGGCCAAGGCATTTCAAACCTGATTTAAGTGATGACATACCAATTATCCATCGTCTTTTATTATATTCAATTCAATCAATCGTAAATGTCCTCTTCTGAAAATTTCTATGCTTCAAATATGGCGCAATTTGTTTAGCAAAAAGAGCGATAGTTAACTTTTGATAAGCTAGGTTGAGCAATGTCGTGCCCATCCTTAGTTGTGGTTATTGCATTTGACCAAATCAAATATAGGTATAGAGGAAAATAGTGAGCTTGGAAAAAAAAATTGAGCCATTGAAAATTATTTTTTGTCAAGAACTTTAATAGCTCTTTACAGGTTATGTACATAATCAGATACTTGTTGTTGTGGGAAAACTTTCATATGGAGAAGTCCATAATATTTTGAGTAGGCAATTCCATTAGAGATGAGGTCATTTAAAGGTAGAAATAATGGAGTGAAGACACGCATCACTTGGCAGGTCCGAGGTAAGATGACTCTTCAAACGTATGTTAAGAAGGAACAATGTTACCAGACATGCCAGTTCTTCTTTTTCATTTACTAATATTATATTTAGTGTGCTCAATCTTGCAGTAAAGCGCGCGCGCGCGCACACACACACACACACATATATATATATATATATATATATATGAGCACGATGGCGGGCGACTGCTCTGCTAGGGTTTCGTAGGTTTCAAATGGAGATCGCTGTTGATTCTGTCGCTCAAAGCTTCCGCTCTTTTCTCCTTCGTCGACTCTCCCTCGTCTTCGTCCGCGTTCGTCTGCGTCTCGACGACGACGCGTTCGGGTCTGCTCGACGCTCGCGCTCGTCACGTCGTGCTGCGTCTGCGACAGAGGTTCACTGTTTTTCCTGCCGCAGCAAGCTGTAGCTTAACCCGACAGCTCCCTTGCTCTGATGGCGCCTCCTTGTTTGGTTGAACCAGACAGTCTCAATTGTCCACGTTGTGGGTAACCCTCAGGTATAATCCGCAGTGGGTTTCCCCTTAAGTTATAAGGAATCTCGTGAAGATACAGATGGTTGTCCTTATATTAAGAAGGGAAGTAGGAAAAGTGGAAAAACAACAATCTTTTTCTCTGAATCAGAAATTTCTATCCTGAATCAGAAATTTCTATCCTTCTATCCTGATAGAAAAATTCAAGTTTGCTCTTATTAGAAAATTTCAGTGGGAACACCCTCCTATGGATGTCATCAGATATAGCGTTAATGACCTTAAGCTAGTAGGCAAGTGAAAAGTGAGACTCATGGATAGGAGACGTGTATTGATCCAACTAACAGTGGCTAAAGACTACACCAGAATTTTCTCCAAGAAATATCTTAATATCGAAGGCAAATCAATGAAGTTACTCAAGTGATCTCCTAATTTCGACCCAAATCATGAAACTCCCACTGTACGGTATGGTTTAGTTTGTCTGGTCTCAAGCTGCATTTTTTTCATCATTAGGTTCTCTAGTCTATTGGGGTCATTCTTGGGGATCCTTTGAAACAAGATTTGCCTACTTTCAACCTAACCAGACCCTCGATGGCCAGAATACTTGTGGAAAAGGATATTATTTTACCTGATGTTACTGAAGTCTGGTTGGGCACAATCTATAATGGTTATTGGCAACAAATCGTCATGGAAGACAAAGCCCCATATTGTACCCACTATAAGATGTTTGGTCATATCCTTGCTAAATGCCACAAATTTTATCCTAACTTGAAATCTAGGGTTCAAGTGAATAAGAATGGGTCTAAACCCACTGTTATGGACATTTTAGTTCCACCTGAAGAGGATAGTACCAGGTTTATGTTGCACCTAAGGCCCCCCCCGCCCCCAATGACACTGTTGTTATTGTTACTGCGAGTGATGCGATGTTGGCACCTACAAACTCCATACAAAACAATACTGATAGACTATTATCTATAAATGATAGTGTTCAGACTGATAATCAGGAGAGTATCGCAGCTTCACTTCTTCAAGAAGTATCTGGTGTAGCGCCAACTCATATTTCACATATTGTAGAACCTATTATGGGTATTACTGTTGGTAATCCGACATGAGGTGTCTGTTGCCCCTGAGGATCTCCCCCATGAAACTGTTGTTACTGCTACTTAGTGATGAGATGTTGGAATGGAGATCTACTAGAGCTCAGGAGTCTTATGGATGATACTTTGGTTACTACGGGTAATAGTTGACACCTTACCAATCTGCTAGCTGGATCCCTACCGAGAACTAGAGCCAAAGGCAAGACTAGATTGGGATGACGCACACTTTTTCAGCGCCCGGGTGGTTTTTGGATTTCTTTTTATTTTTATATGTACCCATCTTTTACATTTTTTAGTGTGTGTCGTACCGTGTGTGTCCCCGCGTTGTTTTTTTCAATATATATATATATATATATATATATATATATATATATATATATATATATATAGACACACACACACATATAAAGAAAAAAAAGTTAAGGAACATACTAGCTCTTCTTTAGGAAGATTGTATGCTGGAAGGTCAGCAAGTTGCTTTTCAGCGGCAGCAAAATCTTCCTTGGCTTTTAATATCCTATGCTGACGGGATGTCTCCTGCCTTCTTAAATCATCTACTTCTTCATATTTGGCTCGTACTTGGGCCCCCTACCAAGCATACACATGTTCACTATGACAAATCAAACTCTAACCATAACTTCATAGAACACCAGGCAGCATACCATTCTGCTCTCCATCTCTACTGAATCCATCCTTTTCTTTGAATTCCTGGTTATTTGCTCGTTAATTTTCTTAACAGCTGATTCTTGAGCTGCTTTTTCCATCTTACGTTTCCTACAATAATAATGGCATTGACATCAATAAACTATGGTTACATCTTTAAAATAGCAATAAATAACTCACTAGGCATCATAAAACCTGATGCAACCAAGCCAGATGAGATCTAAATGTGGCAAAAAGCGTAATGATGCCTCCAAAAAAAACGAGTAATTAATTGGCAGCAAAGTCCCAGTGCAAAAGCAACTCAGATGGTTGACATTTTCGATTCGAAACTAGTTGTGGTGCTTACCATAAGATTCTGTGTAAGTGATGAAAATTAAATAACACTAAAATTAAACAAGCAATGACCAAATGATCATTAATCCAAAAGACCTACATATTTAAATCAAAACAGGCAGTTATCTAGTAGTACGTTCATGAACTTATTTAGCAACTTCAAAAGAAGAAATCATGGAAAAGAAAGTTGTCACTATCATCTTTCATATCATGCAGTTATATAACTTGGTGCTTTGATTGCAACAGTTGAATTTATAGTACTACTATATCCCAACATAAAGAAGAATTTTCCATCATTGGTCAGAAGTTGAACGCATAAAATTACTATATTCGAATATTAAGAATTTTTTTCCATTGATGGTCTGCAGCCCTAATAAAAATTTCCTAAACTTCATTAGATTAATATCACGGTGATTACACAAAAAGTACAAAAGCCCACATTCCCAATACTCATAATAGAAGAAAAACATAATGTCAAATTTCATAAAAATCAACTTTTTAATGACCAAACGAAACTTCCGAATGAAAAAATTGAGCAGAGAATGCCGGGGTAAAGAATTGTATTGACCGTACAGAATAGTAAAGCCACATTACGATAACACCTTGATGGACTATAACGTAGGTAGCACAATGGTAAAACAAGCTATTTCAAACAAATAAATAGATGGCAGCGGAGATACCGGAAGAACACAGAGGCCTGGAGACTCAATTGTGCAGTAAAATGGGAAATACAAGGGATGCAATAATGAACAGCAAGCTACTATAATAAAATAAAGGGGTGTTTACATACTGATACGTTGGTGCCTAGTCTAAGAGCAAATTTGTCTTTGGAATGCCCGAGGATAATTTAGTCTTTTATTATTATTATTGTTGGTATATATAGGCTTGTTATGTGTAGAGTTAGGTTTAAGCATGAGATTGAGTGGCGAGTCTTAGGTTAAGGGTTTGGGACAAAACTCCTACATTTCGAATTGTAGAAATTGGGAGAGATCGCTTACCTCTCGAATTATAGATGCTTATCATTTGTATTTATGTGAATTGTTTGAATTATTGTAATAAAAAAATGTGTTTGCCCTAAATTTTGTGGAAAAGTGTGTCGATTTTGACGCAAGATCGTATCAAATTGATATCAGAGCAATCAGTTCTGGGAATAAAAGAAAAATGATCGAGATCCATAGCTTCGATCCACAACATGACAAGGAAATCCACGACTATTTATGCGGAATGAAGAACCCTGCGCACTAGGAAAGTTGATCGTGATACAGTCGTAGTAGCAGAAAGCAAAGGGATCGATACGTTTAGTGATCGTGGTGACCACAACCGAAACAGTTAATGGAAGCGTCGCGGTTACGAAAGAAAGCAAGATACAGGCCGATACAGTCGAAATGACAGTGCCAACATGACTGACGTTCAAGATACAGTGAGATTGTTGCGATCTAGGAAGGCAACGAAGGAGATCATGGCTTACCAATTCGCGTAGGAAGGATCGCGTCTTTCAATTATTTCCCCGTGATAGCAACACGCGGCTTCAACTCAAAGGAAAGTGATAGACCGCGTGAATCAGAGTTTGTAGGGTGCTGAGGGTGGGACTGTGGCACGCCACGTGTGGTACAGTTGCGAATTTCATAGCAGGTAACGAAAGAAACATGGTGTAAACGTGGTGTAGAGCGACCACACCGTGTAGTTTTCTGCAGTGTCAACTCTGAAATTTAGGAATTTTCAATTGTTTTCTTCATCTAATAATGCGCAAGTGCTGTCGTCTTTTGGTGATCAAAATTTTTTTTGGGAATAATGACAACTAAAAATATAGATAATTTATTCGAATAAGAAAATAGAGGAAAAGATTAGCAAAATCGAATCTAAGAGGTACGAAATGTTTGCCTCCATAGATGATGGGTTCTTCCTTGGAGATTCAAATGGATGACTGATTTGAGAGCATAGGGGAAATTTGAGAGATGATAAAGAATGTTATTGAAATGCAATCCAAGACCTTACTGCCGGTTCAATTTGCAAACTTACCCAAGCGTTGGACAGAGATTCATTGGCTAAATCGAAAGGAAAATATATTGAACGTGAGGAACATGGGAAGGAAAGCATCCACCGTCACGAACGATTTCTTAAGGCTCTGACTATGGGTGGATTAGAGATTTTTGATAGAGGTGATTGGGTCGAAACATGGAGAAGAGATTATGAAAAAAGTATAAAAAAACAAAAAAAAAGAAAAGAGAGCAGCAGGGAGGGGATATGGCTACGATTGAAGGTGAGAGTTTTGCCCTCGATTCATGGGAGAAAACAACAAAGAAAGAAGAAGTTTGGGTGGAGATGTTAGAGTTAGGACGTTAAAATGTTGATCTTCGAGGGGTAAGACACACATAGGTGGGTGTATTGGGTGGGGCAATACTTCGCGGTGAATGGGCAAGATGCGAAGGAGAAACTCATGGCAGAAATGTTATGTTTGGAAGGGAAACTCTAACCTGGTTTCGTGGAGGGAGACTAGATACAATATTTATTAATGGGAGGAATTCAATGATTATTTGTTGAAATGTTTATGAACAATATAAAAAAGAGACTTACACGAGCAATTCTATGTCTTGACTCAGGGGAGGACTTTCATGGAATATAAGGAAAGCTTTAAGCTATTGTCGAGATGGTTGAGGGGGATTTCTGAAACAGGATTTGATGGAAATTTCATGAAGGGCCTAAAACCCAACATATAGGCATCACTCCGACTATTGAGACAGCAAGAATTGAGGGAGATGATGGAGCTAGCTCAAATGGTAGAGGACGAATCAGATGAAAAAGGCCAGCAGGAGCAACACGGAACATCGTACCGAACTGCTACAACCACGACGATAACAAAAGCTCAAACAGTAGAAGTTCATAGGGAGACTGCACGGGGCACGAATAAAAGACCAAGACCGGGATCAATACTCAAGCACCTTACAAAAACAGAGATTCAGGAGAAGCAAGTTAAGGGGTTAAGTTTTCAGTGTGATGAGAATTTTACCCCAAAACACCGTTGTAATGATCAAGGATTACAAGTTCTCATAGTGCATGACGAGGAAGCAAAGAATGAAGAAATAGAGACCGTTGAGAGGGAGGAAGAACACTCTTACTTTTCCCACCTTGAGCACAAGGTGTCTTTAGGAGGGAGTATTTTTGCGTTGGCGCCTAACCTAAAAGCAAATTTGTCTTTTGTATGTCTAAAGGTAATTAGTTTTTTATTATAATTATTGTTGGGTATAAATAGGCTAGTTATGTCTAGGGTTAGGTTTATGCATGAGATTGGGTGGTGATGGGAGAGATTTCCTTCCACTTGAATTGTAGGAATTGGGAGAGATCGCCTACCTCTCAAATTGTAGGACCTTATCATTTGTATTTGTGTGAGTTGTTTGGATTATTGCAATAAAAATTTGTGTTTGTCCTAATTTCTCGGGTGCGACCATACCAGCACCAGTGCACCAGATCCCATCAGAACACCGCAGTTAAGTGTGTTTGGGCGAGAGTAGTACTAGGATGGGTGACCTCCTGGGAAGTCCTCGTGTTGCACTCCATTTACTGAGGAGTGGAACATACCAGCATCAGTGCACCGGATCCCATCAGAACTCCGCAGTTAAGCGTGCTTGGGCGAGAGTAGTACTAGGATGTGTGACGTCCTGAGAAGTTCTCGTGTTGCACCCCTTCATTATCAAATTATTAAAAGGTGCGAACGATTTAGATATCTCGGGTATGTTGTTCAAAGCGACGGTGATGTAGATGGGGATGTTAATACTAGAATTCAAGTTGGTTGGTTGAAGTGGAGGAATGCTTCGGGCCTTTTGTGTGATAGAAAATTACCGCTTAGACTAAAAGGAAAATTTTATAAGACGGTGGTGAGATCTACAATGCTCAATAGCGCTGAATGTTTGGCCTTTAAAAGAGAAGCATAATAATAAGTTAAGTGTTGCCGAGATGAGAATGATCAGATGAATGAGTGGCTTTAGATTTAGAGACAAAATGCGAAATGAATATATCCGTTTAAGTAGAACTAAAACTGAATACATGGAATGTAATTTTAGTAGTAATAGCTCTAGTGACAGAAGTGTGACTTTGGGTGATCAAATTATTAAAAGGTGTGAATGATTTAGATAACTTGGGTCCGTTGTTCAAAGCTAGTAATAGCTCTAGTGACAGAAGTGTGACTTTGGGTGATCAAATTATTAAAAGGTGTGAATGATTTAGATAACTTGGGTCTGTTGTTCAAAGCGATGGGGATGTTAATAGTAGAATTTAAGTTGGTTGGTTGAAGTGGAGGAATGCTTCGGGCCTTTTATGTGATAGAAAAGTACCGCTTAGACTGAAAGGAAAATTTTATAAGACGGTGTGAGACCTGCAATGCTCTATGGCACTGAATGTTGGGTTTTAAAAGAGAAGCATAATAATAAGTTAAGTGTTGCCGAGATGAGAATGATTAGGTGGATGAGTGACTTTACACTTATAGACAAAATGCGAAATGAATATATTTGTGATAGGGTTGGTGTAGCTTCTGTGACGGACAAAATTAGAGAAAGTCGTCTTAGATGGTTTGGTCACATTAAACGTCGACCATCTGATGATCCAATTAGGAGAGTAGATGTTTTAGATTTGACTTGTGTTAAGAAAGGCAGAGGTAGACCTAGGAAGACTTGGGCTTATCGTATTAAAAATGATTTTAATTTACTAGAACTAAAAAAAAATATAGGACGCAATGAAGAAAAAGGATTCATGTAGTCGATCCCACGTAGTGGGATTAAGGCTTT